TACAGCTAAACCCTTCTAATCCTCTTTCTTCGGCGAGACGTACCAACAAAGAAGGGGACAGAATTGCAAAACTTCTGGCTCACCTGAAGTTCAGAAAGTTTGGTCTCATTGCTCGTCGCTTCTGACATCTGCTTTGGCCATGTGGACCAGAATTTCTCCAGCTTTTCGATTAAGTTGCAGCCCTAAAAAAGGAAAAGCAAGATGAGATTATGTATGCACCATGGCGGTGTTTAGAATCAGTGCTAAGTTTATGATATGCATTCGCAAGAAAAGCCTGAATAAGAAGAGTCTACAGCTTACCGCTAAGAGTGGGTTTATGAGGTCTTCGAATCTATCCAAAAGTCGGTTGTACTCGTGCCAAACCGATGATAGTCGGTTCAGCTGGTCGTTGAAGTCACTTCCCACGGCACTTTTTGTCTCATTGAACAGGTTTACAATGAAGTTCTTCTGCGCCTAAATTGGGAATAAAAAAAGTTGATGAGAGAAATGTGAATAATTCACATCAGGCACTTTATAATTAATAATACCAATAAAAAATAGAGTAAATAATAGTATTCACCCAATTTCGTTTAAGGTAGAAGCAAGGCTATGGAATGGAAACGTCAGCTCAACTCATATGATTGTGGGAAAATTCTTCTTCTACCAGTCCTTCATCACCTTATTGAAATTGGCTGAATACATCTCATACTACTGATTTACTGGTAGTCTCGACACAATACTTAAATGCGAAAATACCAATTATAAATTCTTATAAAGGTAGCTAGATATAGGATGGTTTTGATAGTTAGTTGTCAGGGTAATCTTAGTATATTTTTCGCATTTAAGTATTGCTTCGAGAATACCAGTAAATCAGTAGTATGAGATGTAGAAACGGCAGTCCACTCCTGCCTGGATGAGAACAACTGTTGGGAAAGCAAGGCTATGTGAAATTCAATGGAAACGTCAGCTCTACTCATATCATTGTGGGAAAACTCTTTTTCTACCAGTCCTTGATCACCTTAAACGAAATTGGCTGAATACATCTCATATTAAATAATAGTAGTCAATCCATAATTAATAGTACTTATTTAATAATTTAATTAATTAGTCAATGTTTTACAATTCATGATTAATAAGTCTTTGAGGTTGCTAATCGTAAGAGACCGATAGTCAGGTTGACCTTGAACAGTGAGCCAGGATCCTCGTTTTTGCTGCCGTGTCGACTGTTGGATCGAGGGCTGTGCACGTGGAAGCGTCCTATTGGTTGTGCTGTCTCCTTTCACAGCCGTAAAATAAGCGGTAATTGATCCGAATAAAAGGAAAATATGATCACTCCAACGAGGGGTCCAGGTGAGTTCAGAATAGTACAGGCCAGGATGAGTGTCTAACCGAGGCTGTACCAAACAGTTATGCTCAAAGAGATAGTAAAAATGTCTTAAAAGCTAAATTATATCCTCATTGAGTTTTCTGAGAGCCACTTTTGATTAAGTCTATAGATTGCCATCCGAAAGTACAGCCTTCTAGT